TTCACGTGTTTCCTGGGCCTCTTCTAGTTAGTGACTGCTACGTTACAGCATTTTTCCTCTAGCAACTTGTTTTCTCTCTTATTTAGACGTGGAATTCTTTTCCCTGTGTGGTTGTTGACTCTGAACTTTGTAATTTTTTTCCCTTTGGCCAATCTCGGATCTCATCTCACTGGCGGTCTCGGCTTATTGGTTACAGCTTCCTTATTCCATCAACAAATCCATTGCGAAACGCTTCATTCGTTTGGCTTGTAATCCCTTGACTACCCGTTCGTATTTGCGTGAGTACTGGCGATTTCACAGTATTCCAGCACACACACAACCGCTGGTGGCTGCGTGGCTGCGCGGAGCGATGGGACTAGATTCCGACACACTACCAGTAAAATGATGACATTCTGTTTTCTTTCTTAGACTCTGATCTCGTCTGTTATGTAATAATGTCTCTAGCAAGCAATGTGTGGTCTGTCGCTTCATCGACATATTCGTTGATGCGCTGGGCTAAGCTTATGTGAATTTGGCTTCTGATTGTCAACTAAAAATCGTGCATTGTTTCGTGGAAAGAATGAGCTCAAACAGAGAAGGCCAATTTGTTCGTTCCAATAAGGCAGTTCCAGTGCCTGGTGAGGAGCAACCAGGCACACACCTTTTGACTGTTTTCGTCCGCCAAAAGCGCATTCCATTTGTCGGCTGGAATCGGCAGGTTTTTGTGAGTTCATTCTCCCCACCCTCACGCTCCACCGTCATGGCATTTCATCCAACTGCTATTTCTCTCAATCCGCTCGAAGATCTAATAACCCTGTGTAGCTTGCTTTAGGCGAATGGCCTCTCGTGGGAGTTTTTTATCGGCTGGCTCTTGGCAAACTGGATGCGTGACTATCTTTGAAGTACTCTGATTACTTTCAAAATGGGACTGATGTTGCCGCACTCATCGTGTCTGCGCGCACCCACTCACCTGCTCTTGTCCTGGTCACGCGATTCCTGTAGCCGTTGCCACGGTTTTCTTGCTTACGTGTGCTGACCTACGTTTCGGTGGGATGATCTCAATACTCATGACCAGCAGCCGCTCTATGTACAGGGGGTTACCGTTTTGGGCTGTTGTTTGTACAATTTCATGGTAGTTGGCTTATATTTAGAAAAAATACTCTTTCCACCAACATCCTCCTGGCATCATCAAGCAGTCACCAACGCCGCTGCAATGTTCTCTGCTCAGTTATGTGCCGCTTTGATCTAACGTAATATGCCTTGCTTGGGGATTGAACCCCCAATGACGCGCAGTACATGTCCATACTCGAGTTCTTTCAGTTGATTGAATCCATGGTAGGTTGAGATCATTTCGGAATATAGGAAAAAAACCATTGTGTGTATGCTCGTTGCACTTCTCGAAGACTTAACCGATGCCATCTATTTCGTCACTTGTTTCTAAAACAGCGTTCACTGCCGATTCAGTTGCTCAAGTAAGATCCCTGCATCCGATTGCTTGATACTAGTACGCTTCACGTACTTCACTAAAAGTAGCATCAAGTAAATCGCGAAAAGTTCCGGGACGCAAGGCTTCTTTAAGCAAATTAACTGAAAAACTAGTATTTACAAGTGGTGTTTAGAATCAGAAATAGGAGAACGGATATGCTCACACCACCGATTTCGTGACCCTCTGATGTAGCCCATCTTCAGGACTCTCCAGCAGACGGTTAATTATAACACAAATAAAAGTTTATGTGAGCTTTTTCAAGTTCCTTGTTAAATTGTTGACTGGTCACTTCTAACTTTATGCCAACTAAGTGCATTTGATTGACAGACTGATGTTTCGGAGGCACTCCTGCAGGGGCTGGTTGTGACCCCGACTACTGTGGGTTTTTACCGAGCAGTGAAGGATTTCGTTTATGTTCCGAATGAGGCCCATCGTAACCACACTCAAACAGCCATTGCGCATCCGGAAAAGTACCACGGCGGTTTCATTCTTCTGGGAGCCGTCAACAGCGTGTAATCCGTCCGTTTCATGTGGGACCTTACTTTTACAATTTCATGGTTAAGACCTCTGGGCCACGGAGGATGGGCAACATTCGTTATGACCAAGTAACTAGGTGTGCTGTAGTGTGACATCCATACTTACCTCCACACGCGTTTCGAATGCATAGGGGAAAAGATTGGCCCCCTGGAACTCCACTTCCCTTTTGGGGCCACCATCGTTCAATGGTATTATAAAGTAGGTCCGCCAGTTACTAACTGTTAACGAGTTGTGAAGGCAGTGAGTTGGATCAACTATTCCTAGGAGGTTCATCATAGCTAGCTGTTCAGCCACGGCGAATGTGGGTGAATCATTGGCCATCTAATTCTTTCAACTCAGTTGCACGTGGGTTTCTGTACACTGGATCAGCATTTGGCTATTTCCAATGGAGCTAGTTTCTTCCATCTGCCTCTCTTTTACCATACTTCACAATTTTCGGTCAATTGCGAGATACCTAATCGATTGTCACTCCAGGACTCTACGAGAACTATAAATCGGCCTCCGAACAGAATCACTTCCCCAGATTCGTTCGCCGCTATCGCGACTCAAAAAAATTCATCCGCCCTGCAAATGCTCGTACCGATATTCACGTTGTGGTATGTACGCAGTCAAAGAAAGCGGCCGCCATTTTCTGTATGACAAGTATTGGCCACGAAATGGTCTCAGTGAATGTGTTTCGCGTTTGACAAACGACCGTCCTGAGCACTTATGCTGTCTACAATGATCACAATACATCTCTTTGGTTATCCCAATTAGAAAAGAGCCTAGAAGTATTCAGCTTTAATTGCCTTCTAGCTGTAATCTGTGGGAGCGTATGCCGAAACAATGATGGGCATATCTGCTTTATCCGTTTCTTACTGACAATGATCAGGCTTCAAAGTCGCTTCACATAAACTCGGCTGTTCACTAGGATTCTTTATAGTCTCCACATTCCGCTGAGAACGACCCCATACCGTAAATGTCCTCCACCATGGATCCCGCGTCGCTGGAGATGTGAATTGTGTAAATCCCGTCATTGTGACCTGGGTCGCGTTGATGCATATGCATTAAGGTGATGTCGACTACGCTTTTCACCGTACACCTCAACTCCTGGATGGTGTTAATTGGCGGCGAGTATCGTATGTTGCTCGATCTGACCCAGTATGTTGGCGCTCAAAGGCCTGACACACTGTGATACTCTAGCTTTGCAGGAGAATTCGACTTTCTTGCTGATGTGCCTCGTGATGTTAGTTGTAGTACACTGCTGACTAACACCGTAAGCGGATTGATGTAGATGGGTGGAAATAGTAAAAATTTACTGGCGACGGGCTTTGGTGGGCGGATAAGACTCGGACTACCAGCTCGGAGAAAGGTATTTTTAATCACAACACCTATAGTCTTTAACTCAGGTGTCCGACATTAGTGGCTGCGAGATTGTTAGGGGCCTTCTAGGACCATCCTACCCGGACCCATGAGATCAATTACTTTATCATAAGTAATGGGTGCTTCCCCAGTTAGGGAGTTTGTTCCCCGGTTCCCGTTGGGACCTGCTTTGTATGCTTCAGAACCATTGATGAGTGCTTTTCCCACAACATTTGATACGTGTGCGATCACAGTGAAATGCGAGGAAGTATTTATGGGGTTTTCGCCTCCTTGACCTTGGATTGCTTTCTTAGGACGAGCGGCAGCAACTCAGTGGGCACACGTAATGCCACTTAACCCTCTGAGATGACCCTTCCTGTTATCCTTCATGGTTGAGTCGGAGAGAAGAGGACCATCGATCTTTTGGAAACCCGATGGGAGGAAAAGCTAGATAATGTTTCTGACGGTAATCGTTGGCCTGTCTGGCACGCGTGTCCCTGAGGCACCTAGAAAGTGCAACCCCAGGTAGCTCAGTGAATGATGGGACGTTCACGTACTATCGCACCACGTTAAGATGCAACCACATCACCGTGGTTTGTTGCGGTAGGTGATCGATGAGCTTTTACCCGAATTGTTGGCCAGGATGTGCTTACTTGAACGCCTACCGGACTTTCAGTGGTGGTGCTTTCATCAAATGAACATTTGCGCCATTTTAAGTGATCAGAGTTAATTCTGCTCATGTTTCACTTCGACTGTAGTCTATTGCTTATTCGTATGTGGGGCCACAACTAAGCGTAGTTGTCGCGGTTGAGAGTTTAACAAACCGGCATTCTGATTTTGCGTGCGCTCGTAGGTGTGGTCGCCTCATTCAACCTAGGAATCGTGCCGTGCTCAATTGCATAGTCTGACTGCCGTGCCGCACAGGTAGTCGGCCGCCATGTCTTTTGATTGCTCTTCCCGAATGGCACGACATTCCAGACGGTTCGACAACCACTGGAAGTTTGTGTCATCTCACGGTTACTTCACTGTAGGCGTATTGGAAATAGTGACGTTCGGATTTCTCTGCAATCGGTCGTCACATGCGGTGACCATATCACCCTGTGCCAAACATAAAACGCTATTCTCCGTTTCGGTTTATTGGCCTCTGATGGTTGGTACTCCCATTCTACCGGATCTGTCTTAAAGTTGAGAATATCTTCTCGAGACAAAAATTTGAGCACAACCGATACACCTTGATAATCTGTTGAACAAAGTGGAGGGTCAGCAGAGCTGCAGCTGCCTTACTGGGTCAGTGATCAACGCTACTCTTTATGGAACTAAATACATCGAAAGGCAAAGCAACTTTATTCTCAGGATTTCCATTCCCCATGAAGCTCAAAAACTTTCCCTAATCCTTTCCACCTTAAACTTCGTTTGATTGTGTACTGAGCTGTCTCATACACGCCTCGCCAGTTCATTTTAGTGCTCTTTTGACGACTAGCGAAAAACTCCTTGTCTGTGTTCATACTCGTCGGTATCCGTCATTGATCCGCTACATTTAGATGCTGAGTAGCTATTAGAAACAAACTGCGTGTAAACTTATCACTTCGTTTTCGTGTAGGCACCTCACTGTTCAAACTGGCACGTCAATTACGATGAAATCATAGTAAAAATGATCACTTTACTAATTTTTTATCAAGATGTGCTCCGCAACAACATTTGCGAGATGAGTATACAAATATTCCGAAAGTCACGTAACAGTAGACCGCACTGGCAATGCGCCAATGGCGCTCCGAACGTCAGAGCAATTGCACTACTGTACGGAAAGGTGCACTATTGTTTACACAACATGACAATGTCATAAACATGTGGTCTCCACTAAAATACATGTCACCCTGTATGGATCGCAGTTTGCCGAGGGTCGGCGGTCCTCCAGGTATCCACATCCATCCTCGGCTACCTGTCGTGGTATGCGGATGCTGCTTCCACGGTTGGCCACACCTATGAAAGTGAGTAAAGAGAAAATATAGGTCAAATATAAAAGCCTCAGTCTTTCTTCTTCCAACACATGATTCGGTAAAACACTTGGTTTAAATCTTTCTTAAAGTTTGGGTAGATAATGTTAAGCCACCAGCCTGATCGGTGAAGTGTTAAATGTTATCTTGCCATATCAGCGATCGCCAGGTCTGTGTTCTAAAATTTTTCCAAATGTTCCCTCAAATGGGTGCGCACTTTATCAAGATCAGGGCAAATGTCCTGAGAATTAATCATAACTTACGATTCCCGAGCGTGTGATGATTGACTGAGTCTGTGCCTTTTCTCAGTCAATTGCTTCCATAGCATTGCACGTCGTGACCCGTTAGCCAAAGGGGTAGAGATTTTGGCTAATATTTCAATGGTCCCTGGTTCGGGACCTGCTATCTCCGCCTGATGAGATCAAATGAGGTCGAAACGTGTCGTGGTGTGCAGTGTTTTTGGCTGAGTAACACCCAGTTTCCATCAGCATCCATAGCGTTTACAAATTCCTCCTTAAGGAAATCATGTTCTTGCGTAGATCGAATTACATCCAACGGGCGTGAACTCCCCTAAATGCTGCTGTTCATTGAATGCCCAACTCCAAATCAGGCTACAGCTTCGACTGATTTGATATGGTCACTCAAAGAACAGTACGCATCTTTTAGCAGCGTTTGTGCTCGTTAGATGCAATTCCATAGCGTTAAGGACCGTCCTGCGAGGGGAAGGAACATGATTTCCCTGAGAAGTTCATGAGCGTTATGACTACTATTGACTGAAAAAGGTATAGAAGTGATGAACTTCCGCTTGTACGATACAACTTCCCCTACTACTACTACTCCCTTGTGCGTTGTGAGCCGCTCCGAATGACAGCCTGCGTCGCACGCCGGCACGGTCCACAGTAAGCCACGTGATTTGTGACACAGGTCTCGCCTGCTCTCCTTGCGCATATTCAAACTTGCCCTCGGGGCTCATTTCACGCGCTTCCTAAACACAGTTGAAGTTACACTAACAATCGTATGATTAAGAAACATTTTGCCCATCATCACGATCAATACACCTTAGCTTAGGGTGAGAACCACGCCTCGGTTGGTGTGCCGTAATAAGAAAAAGATATTAAACGCTACAGACTATAAGAACTAAAACAAACAATTACTTTGATGCCCAATATCATATTACGCATTGGGTGTACGCTCGTTGTTGAAGAAGGGAGCTAAAAGAGAGGAGAGACCAAGAAGCTCAACACAAAAACCATTGAAGTCGACTCTTCCTCATGTCAAAAAGTGTGTCCAACCAGACGTATGCATCCTCCTTCAGACTCCAGCCGTGCAGTCGGGAAACACCAACTGACGCTGACTTCGAAATGAAGGTTTTCATTCCTCTTGACCGAGTCTTCATTTGACCTCCTCTCCACTTCGTGCGCAAGCAACACACGTCGCCAGAGTCGGTGGGCTGGCATGCGCAGCACGTGGCCCGGCCATCGATGCCTGGTGCGTGACATAACGGTGCTGAGCGATCCACGTGCTCTTGCTGGACCAAATACGAGACACCGAATGCGCACATTGTTCACATAGTGTTCACATCAAACATGGGTTAAGCTGCGAAGGCAGCGATGATCGAACGCAACTGACATCTTCATGCCCGTCGACCTGGTAAGTCACGTTTCGCATCCGTACAGGAGGGTGGTCGAACGGAGGGCCGAATTGTAAGCTCTGCCTTTCAGGGCGATAGTGATGTTGCGTCGGTGTCTCAGGTAATGGAGCGCCCCGAGCTTGTGCTATGCGATTCGTGACTTCATCTTCTATACCACAGACACTAATATAGCTGCCTAAATGCTTTAACTTTTGTGCAACTCCAAATTGATCCCTACCTATGGTCAGCTCAGGGGTGGGTCACTGTGGATCTTTGAGAAGAATTTTGCATTCCAAAGGCGCAAAGCAAAACCCAGAACGACTAACAGCCGGTTCTAATCTGTCCATTGCTGCTTGGCTCTTTTCGGAGCTGCCAAAGATGAGGGCTATGTCGTCAGGCTACTCGAAGTTACGTAGTGGCTCACCAGGAAGCAGTTCCACGCGTTATAAGTAGTGTCCAGTGAACGCCCTTCCCATGACATCATCAATGGCAAAGTTAAGTAGAAGTTGACATTGGGCAACCTTGCCTTACACAGCTGAAGAGGTAATTGAGATCAGACTGATTCCTCTTTGACTGACGCATCCGAACGGGAGTTTCCCTTGAAAATTGGAATTATGTCGGTGTGACCCCAGTCTGTTGGAACAGTCTCCCGCTTCCACAGCTTCACCATTCAGTTGCGCAAAACATCCGTTAGAGCTGGTCCCCAGAATTTGAAAAGATCTGAAAGCATTCTATCTGCTCCTGCGGCCTTTTTTTCAATTTCAACGGCCTGATTTCACTTCGACTTCTGTGCGTCAGGGCGGATCCAAGGTTTTATGGCCCAGGAAGAAGGACAATCAATCCCCGAAAAAGAATATGATATTTCAGCTTGATTAAACTACTTTTGAAAGCATTCTACCCGTGTTTCGACAAGCTGTGAATTGAGTGTCCACACACCTTGATCATGGGATGTGCATGTACTGATTTTCTCTGCTACCACCACGGTGTCATCCTCCGATGTGATCGATGGTCGCAGTTACCTTCGTCCGTTACAACATTCTCTTAATCGATTTGTTGCGTTCGCGGTACATGGACCTGGGCAGATATGGCTGCTTTGCTTCACACGACTTGCGAAATTAGCTTTTACCGTAGCCAAGTTGAAATCTATTAAGCACTACATTCTGGTAAACATGCCGAGCTATAGGCTACAGTATATTCTCGATTGGCGACCGAGAAGATTACTTACCGTACCTCCCGGCAATGTTCATGAAGAAACGGTGGCGTATCAGAGCCAAATGAGGGTTGGCGCACCTGTACCATTACAAGCAACAAATAAGGACAAAACCGCGTCATTCAAAGGTTATAGTGATGTTGTCGGGTTGGAAACATCGGTGATTATCCGCTGACGAATTCCAAGTGACAAGCAAATCGGCACAGATTCTGCTTGAAAATGCTGCTTCTTATGAACGACGGAAGATTAGTGTTTACTTGCAATGAACGTTGACTGCTGTTAGTGTGCTTACATTAACTTAGGCCTCAACCTACCCCCTGAGCTTCAGAAGAAGTTACACGACCTACATGCGCATCTACCCTCCCTGTCATTTCAGTTGAAAAACTTTAATCATAGAGCAGGCGTGTAATTGATACTGCGGTTATGACCCGCGTCACCAGGACAATACTAATTAACGATGATGGGGAAAATAGATTTGAATTAGAATAATAGTAACAAGTAGAAGAGGCCAAGCTAATCGGGTCGAGAAGTTAAGAGCTATATGCAAAAAGGTGAACGTTGTAGTGCAACTGACCCCGTCGCTATGCCATGTTGGACAAGTCTTCTAACTACTAGTAAGGCAACCATACAGAAAATGCCACATCGCCGCCTGACCACACTTCTCAATCAGTTTCTTCACATCTTCCTGATATGCCATTGGCTGAGCATTTCACCCTTTCGCCTAACTATATGCAGCGACGCCAAACTATACAGGTAATGGTAGCCTCTACAGACATTCGGAGAACACGAGATAACCAACATACATGAATTGAGTTCAGCCGACACACAAACCAGCAACAGCCGGTTTTCTTTCAAATATCAATCGACGGATTCACTTGACGCGGTGCTCGCCGAACTGGGCACTTTGCTTTCAAATGTTTCGTCACCAACCGAGGTGACACCGTCAGTGCGTAAGAGTTAGCGATTTCGTAGCAGAAGCTGGTAAAAGGCAAATCCGGGTTAGGCTGACTGTCTTCGGTATTGCTCACCCCGTCTCCCATCAGAAATGAGTAGTGCTACGCATACGCCGGTGATCAAAGATGATCATCTTCCAAATATCGTCAGTATGAACTGATCTTGTTTTGCATTTATACATTAACAACGGTTTTATTGTGACGTACACTCTGTCCTTGAATGACAGGTTAATAGTTTACCATCTCCATCTCAGGGATTTCACCTCTATAGCATTTCCCGCAAAGTTGCATTAAAAGTCCAACATTTTGCAAAGAAGGTGCAAAATTTCGCAAAACCCTGTGCGATTCGCCAGTCGCTGTGAGCCAATCCTCTGACCTCAGGTGTGTTCCCATTGGTCGGGTGCTAGGGTTTGGTGCGTAAGTCGTGAAGTGAGCACGCTGCCCGTTGACTAGGTGAGACTTGTGAATGAACCTCGAGTCCATGGACATGGCCGGTGCGACAAGCTACTATGCGCCCCCCTCACGTCTGAAACGCTGGATGACAATTGGTCTGCAAGTAATGAACGGTCGGAACATAAGCGTATGACTGAATGGATGTCTTTCATTCCAGCGTGGTCAACATGCCTTTTCCTGTTCGATAGGGCATCTCGTCAGACATTCGTGACCGAGTTCTGGATGCCTTCGTCTTCGGTGACGACTGGCAGCTCGTGGCAACCGTGAACAATGTGAAATATCAGACTGCCTACTGCTGGATTCGTCGCTCTCTTTATCAGAAGCCGGATACTACGCAGGCGCGCGGTCATAATCGCATTCTGTCGGAGGAAGAGATTGATGACATCCTGGAGTGGATCACGAAGATCGCAACTCTAACTACACGAGATGCGAGTCGGAGTACGTGCCACTATGGATAGGAACATTTCAAAGTCTACAATCACATGACACCCAGATGGCCGTTTGATGACTATGAACAACACCTATCAGACTCCAGAAGGAATGAACAATGATCGAACCAGAGATACGAAAGGACTTTGTTCAAAAGTTTCTCGAATTTGAAAGGGGGGAGAAGTTCTTCATATGGATCGACGAAACGAACTTCAACCTTTACTGCAAACGTACTCATGGCCCGGCGCCCAGAGGAGTGAGAGCCTGTCAAAGTAGCTAACAGCTCAGGCCTGAATTTACATATCATCGAT